TCCTACCTTGTATATTATTATTGTAGATAGAGTGAATTTGAACAAATTACTGCAAATTATCACGAAACTTCGTTGGAGCAATAAGGACAACAACAATTAACTGCAGAGTAAGTTTCATTGATCTTTATTTAGTATTTCCTAGAAATTTTAGGATGATATTTTTACCCCATACAAACACTGTAATTTTACTGGAACCGTACTGTGGTACTATCACAGAGCCTGGGTTACCTGTGATTAGAGATGTCACTTTGCTGTAGCTGTTGTCGCACATTGTGTCATATCAATGGAAATGGCACAAGTTTGAAAACACAACAAATTGCACAAGAGGATACTTCCTTGCTTCATTACTGCGTTGTTTAGGAGAAACATTAATACAGGGACCCATGGCAAATTTGGTTCAATAATATCAGCAACTTGTACTAACTTTCAACTAACTTAAATTGTAGCCTCACCGGCTCGACAATATCGCTCACAATTAAAGAAATATTATCCATGCATTTTTATTCTTGATAGCAGTCAGCGTCATCTAAGCTCAATTTTGGGGTTTGCCTGCAGGTGTTTAATAAAAACACTGTTAAAGCGAGACTTGGTTGGTTTATTATCGTGTAAGTTCCTCCTGCACGAAATGCTTTAATCACGCTTTGTTCAAGGTTAGTAACCTGGCTTCCTCAAGAAAATAAGTCATGGATAAAGTACTTGAAAGTATCTCAAAGTGTATAGAACAAGACAAGTAGAATTATTTTCCCCCCTGTACCAATGCGAAAACATTACAATGAAATAATTTAGGTTTTTGTTTCTAAGAACTCGGTAACATGCGCAATTTCGTGAACAATTTTGTTTGTCATTTGACTGTTGATTAAGACCCTGTTTACATGGAGAGGGGGACCCCGGTCTAGTGGGGTAAGTCTCTTTTGTTTTGTGTCCCCCAGAGCGTGAAAACAAAAGAAACTTACCCCACTAGACCGGGGCCCCCCACTCCATGTAAACAGGCCCTTAAACAGCGGAACTTTTCACTGCGCACAGCCCTCAATTGGGAGATGCAAACTAAGACAATTTCAACTCACCGTTTAAAAGGCAAAAGGAAGTTGTTTGAAATGGCGAGAGATCCTTATAAAAATTGTGAGACGATTAGTAAAAAGAAAACGTTTTGATAATTATTTCGGTTTTAAGTGTTTCTGAAAAGAAAACATCATGTCAATAAGTAACATTTTCGTTATATAACGTTGAGATACCGCAGTGTGTAATTTAATCTTCAGTATTTTTTTTGGAAAGCTGATACATGTATGCTGTACAAACTGCAAAGACAGTTTCCACACGCTACCTTGGACTTTGAAGTGTAAATTCATTCAGGGTAGGCTGTGTTGGAGAAAAAATGTTTTCATTTAACGAGCCCCAAGTATACCTGTCCCATGAAATAACCGTTCACTAGAGTCCTAATAAAAGGCTTATATTCTTAAGTAATTTCACAATGCATTATTCTTTTTGGGATTAAAATTTTCCGGGGCTAATTTTCGCCTCTGCATTTTGTGATCATGAATACATCAACTAAAGATGACACTTTGCAGTGGCCTATGTCGCATATTGTGTCTTATCAATGCAAATATGTCAAAAGTTTGAAAAAACAAATTGCACAAGAGGATCTTTCTTTGCTTCATTAGCGCGTGTTGAAGAGAAAAAAAATATCTTGCTCCTAACAAAGGCATTTAGGTTTCCTTTCCATACTTGTTTGGGACAAAGATCTCACCTAAATAACAAAAATCATCTTATTTGTTACTTAGCTGTTAGGCAAGTAGCTGAGCAAAATATTAATTACCCAATAATTTACTGATAAAGTGCAAATAACAATAGCAACCGCCATCTTTCGTTCGACTATTTAAAGTTAAACTATATGTCAATTTGGAATGAGTCGGCAGGACCTCGCTATCTGTTTGTAGCAACCAACTTGCTTCAAAATAAATCGGGACTTGGCATTCTCCATGATCATAAACAAAGGGACCCACGGCAAGTTTGAACCAATAACATTGGCAATTAAGGAAAAAGACTCATATTAACTTTCGATTAACTTAAAAATATTGTAGCCTCACCGGTTTTTCAATTTCGCCTACGATTAAAGAATGTTTTCTCTACTTATTTATTCTGAATGGCAGTCAGCGTCATCTGAGTTCAATTTTTGTGTTTGGCTGCAGGTGTTAAAAAAAAAAAAAACATTGTTAGATTTCGTTTATTGTCGTGAAAGTTTCTCCTGCAAGCAATTCTGTGATCGCGCTTTGTATAAGGTTAGTTACCTGGTATCAACACTTTTTAGCTTAATCAAATGTTGCCTCAAGCAAAAAGTCATAAATAAAGAACCTGAAAGTATCTAAAAACGTATAGAATTATATTCTTCTCGTGCCAAAGGGAAAACATAACAGTGGAATAATTTCTATTTAATGGAATATTCAGTATTTTTATCAGAACATTTTTTTAAAAGTAATCTGAACTCGGTACAATGCATATCATTGTGAAGAATTCAGCGCCTTTTTCATTGTCTCAGCAATGTTGTTTGACATTTATCTGTTGATTTAAACAGCGGAACTGTTTATTTCGCCCAGCTCTTAATTAGTAGATAGAAACTAATCAAGGACAATTCCAACGCACAATTTAAAAAGCAAAAGGTAGTTGTTTAAAATGGCTAGAGATCCTTATAATGTATTTTGAATGCAACAGCAATTCTTTTTATTTTAAAGAACTAACCAAGGGGTCAAAAAAGCTCCCATGTTTATTTTTTTGCGTCAACTTTTCAGGTACTTTGCAACATTTTGTACAATTATTTTTTACCGTTTTGGACGTATTCGTTCTGTTGAGTAGAGCGTTCGCAGAATGTTAGGGCTATTAACTTTACAAAAACTATAAAGCTGCCTGGTTCAGTAGGGGAAAAAATATGAGAGGATTTGGAAAAAAAGGAAACGATTTTGATAATTGTTTCGGTTTTGAGAGTTTCTGAAAAGAAAACATTATGTCAATAAGTAACATTTTGCTTAATTAACGTTGAGATACCGCAATGTGTAATATACATTTACATTAGGCTACGTATGTTGGAGAAACATTTTTTTATTATTATCATGAGCGATAAGTTTCCCCGTTTCATTAAATTACTCGGTGATGCCTGAGAGTCTTAGAAAATAGTTTGTTTAAACGGTAACCATTACATTGGAAGATGTGTGTTCTCTCAGTGCTTAACACATAACCGTTCACCGGAGCTCGAAAAAAGGCTTATATTCTTAAGAAATTTCAAAATCCGTTACTCTTCTTGGGCTAAAAATTTTCCGGGGCTAATTTTCACCTCTGCATGTTGTGATCATGAATACATTCATTAGAGATGTCACTTTGTTGTAGCTGTTCTCGCACACTGTGTCATATCAATGCAAATGGCAAAAGTTTGAAGACACAACAAAGTTGCACAAGAGGATCCTTCCTTGCTTCATTACTGCGTTGTTTAGGAGAAAAATTAATACAGGGACCCATGGCAAATTTGGTTCAATAATATCAGCAACTTGTACTAACTTTCAACTAACTTAAATTGTAGCCTCACCGGCTCGACAATATCGCTCACAATTAAAGAAATATTATCCATGCATTTTTATTCTTGATAGCAGTCAGCGTCATCTAAGCTCAATTTTGGGGTTTGCCTGCAGGTGTTTAATAAAAACACTGTTAAAGCGAGACTTGGTTGGTTTATTATCGTGAAAGTTCCTCCTGCAAGAAATGCTCTAATCACGCTTTGTTCAAGGTTAGTAGGTTTTTGTTTCTAAGAACTCGGTAACATTCACAATTTCGTGAACAATTCTGCGTGAACAATTTTGTTTGTCATTTGACTGTTGATTCAAACAGTGGAACTTTTCACTGCGCACAGCCCTCAATTGGGAGATGCAAACTAAGAAAATTTCAACTCACCGTTTAAAAGGCAAAAGGAAGTTGTTTTGAAATGGCGAGAGATCCTTATAATATATTTCGAATGCAACAGAAATTCCTGTTTAAGAACTTAACAAGAGGTTAAAAAGGGTCCTATTTGTGCGGTGTTTTGGGCAAATTTTCCGGTTCGCGATAACACATTAAAATTTTGCTGAAACTTGTTAATGCATCGAAAATGAACAACGGCATAATATTAACCGAATTAATGACCAAACTTATTTTGACGTAACTATGTATGTTTTCACAACATTATCGACTTCTTTGGTCAAGCAATACCTTGTTAGCTGGGTTTATATGCGTGTTGGTTATGTTTTTGAACCGCGTTTTTCATTAGGAAAAATTTCTCAATTTCGATTATTTTTGGCATCCTTAATAAAGAATCGTGGAACTTTAAGAAGATTTTATTTATTTCTTGTAAGTATAATTAAAAACGTTTGAGATATGGTATAATAATTAAAACTGTTTTTTTTTTTTGCGAAAAAGTAAATAACTTCAAAATCCTTCGACAGATTTTTCCCTAACAAGTTTAAAGTCAACCTTGACCATGCAACTCGCTGCACAAAATGCTGGTCAAATTTAACCTTAAAATGCTACGCTTACACATTTGTGAAAGCACAACTAGAGAAAAGAGTGCCGACAGACTATCTTCTTTTTTGAAGGGCATTCGTACCCAAAGCTTTATTACAACAAAATGAATACTAATCAGAAACCAACGGCGAATACAGTTAGCAGTACAAAAAGAACAACTTTGTGCCGAATGCGGAGATTAAAAAACTTCTGTTTATCAAAGTTACTGTGTATTTGCCCTTTCTTTTCGAAAAACATCTCAATTAAAAAACAAAGTATAGCATCTACGGAGATTTCTCTGCAATTTTTAGCGCCGAAGGCTCCCCTTTTCGGGAAAAACAAAGCCGCCATCTCTAGTACGTCTAGCTATCCACTTTTCAGCTGCAATGAAAAACCTTGTACTTCGTAATTTATTCAAGCCTTTTAGACTTGCCGTCACTTTGGCAAGTTTGCGATACGTCCCAACTAATTTGAATTGTGCAGATGATGCGAATAAAGGGCAGCAAGCGAAGGTGCTGGCAAGTGAGCGTCGTTGGTGTAGCAGACCTGAGTTCATGCCACTTGAAACCTCATACTCCCATTGTGATGAACTAGGCATATTACGAGACAGCAGGAGGCTGGACAGAGCAGAACTACCTTATGATGCAGCACATGGGTCACCCCATGATCTTCCCAATTGTTTTATGCCCGTGTCAACAACCGTTGTCAACATGCGGGAGTAGCAAATCGATACTAGGTCACAGATTGTCGGCAGGAGGAGAAGAACTGGGACAAAGAATGCGATGTGTGTGAGAGAAAACTTGCTGGTTAAGTGCTTTGCAACTAGAGCAGTGCATTTAGACTTCACATTTTTATTAAGCACCACATATTTCATGAATTCCTTTAGCTACTAGCTACCAGTGGAAGAAGAAGTCACAAGCCATAATGGGACAAACTTTGAGAGGGGCAAAGAGAGAGATCAGAGAACTAGTTCAAGCAATAAATCTAGAGCGAATCGCAGAAAATGCTGCCAGCAAGGGGATTAGATAGAATTGGGTTCAGTGTGGGGTTTCTGAGTCACTGATTCAAGTAGCTAAGAAAATTCTGGAGGCAACAGTTGGAAATGCACGACCTACCAATGACGGAGTGCAGACTTCTATCAAAGTAGAACCCTTGATGAGCTCGAGACCATTGACGTATGGAGGAGCTGACCATCGAGACGAAACAGTCTTGAAACCTAACCATTTCTTATTTGGGCAGCCGGGATGACAACTAGCAGCTCAAGTTACTGATGACATCGTTTTGTATTCCTGGAACCGTTGAAGACTGAATTAGAACGTAGTGAAGTTGGTCTACAGGCCCTGGAGAGAAGAGTTTCTGGCAACACTTAAGACCCGAAGGAACTGACGAGAGGCGAAGGACAATCTGAAAGTTGGAGAGTTAGTACTCATTTCCACACAGTCAGTGGCATCTGGTACGAATGGAAGAAGTTTTTCCATGTCAGGATAGAGCGGTTCGTGTTATCCAAGTGAGCAGAAGAGACCAGAATCGCATCCGCCCTATAACACGACTGTGCCCGTTGAACTTCGCTGGCCAGCAATAGTACGTGACCTAGAGAGAAGAGCTGGACACGCAATCAACCTGAACTTATTTTTTATTTGTAAGCACAGGCAACAAAGAATTTTGTGAGCACATGGAATAGTGCTTTGTGTTTTCTTGCTTGAAGCGAGTTTAGAATAGAATTTCTCAAGCCTGAGAATATCCACTGCTTTGGTCCATGGTATTGGGAACGAAGGTTTCTATAAACTTGTAGGTATGGGACGGTAGACTGGCTAATCACTTTTAGGTCTAGCTTCTTCTATTTGTTAAGTTTAAAGTCTTTGATCTATAATCAATAACGGTGTTGTCTAAGCCAAATGTCTTTTACGGTTTCAAACTTCTAGATATATGGGCTTCCAAAACCACCGTAGTGAAAGGCCTACTCAAACCAAGGGAGTAAATTGAAAGGTCCAAAAAATGTTCTTGACTGACGTTAAGTGTCTACACGATTTTTTCTAACACGTTGACTTCCGTGTTCCCCCCCACGAGTCACTTTTCTGATAATGCATCCCTAACTTGGCCCCTTTCTTCCTAGTCGAAATCGAACCCGCCATTACCTTCTAAGAGAGTTAGTAACTATCAAAGGTGCAGTGGTGAGAGCACTAGCCTCTGTCAGTTGTCGCATTTGCCCATTGAGATTTTTTATGGTTTTCATGCTCAAGAAGAGTAAAGAACAATAGCTATACTATTATGCTGCGAATCAGTACACTTGAGGAGACCACAATCTTCACTATGTTATTTTTTACCTTTTTGCAGATGTCAATACAAGAAAGAATTTTGATTGTATTAATTTTGGTGTCAGAGTGGACAGTTGCAGGCAAGTAAAATTATTATAAGCTGGAATTGTCGTCTCGCATGTATTTTATTCTCGTTATTATGAAGTAACAAAAGCAGCTTAAAGTGTAGAACAAATAATTCAAAACCAAAGTGTTAGTATGTGCAATCACATTATATTAAGTGCAAATGATAAATTAAAAGTGCAAGAATTATTGTTGGTCATCTGCTTCCATAATTAATCTGCATGGTAAATCTACCGTCTGATAACACTGAATATAAATCGTATTAATGCATCCTTTCATTGTTTTGAACGGGTGATTATTTTCAATGAATGAAAGAGTAGGCCACTGAGGTGGAACAGGAGGTCATTATTACCAATCATAACCTACTGTTCCATTTCAGTGACCCCAGTAAGAAGATGGTGCATACGTTTTTACGCATGAATTCAGCTATAGATTGGTCCTGGAGCGGGAACAAAAGCGTGACCAAGCTAAAAGCCAACCTTCAAACTCTATTTGAATTTATTTTTATCTATTTTTAATTTAACCAAAAGAAATCTAAGATCTTTATTGGAATTTTCTCGCATCGATAGGTTTCCATTTTCCTTAGCAATGGAGGCTCCACCGCACGTGCACGCTTAGGCTCCGCTGAATATTCTTGGGTTTCGTTGAGCGTAGTGTTCTACACGATAGAGACTATTAACTTATATTTTTGAAGTATTATTTAAGTAGGTTAAAGCAACTTTAAATTAGATTGCAACCTGATAGAAATCTGGTAAATGTTTGTTTACAGAAAAGCCGAGGATAAGGGTACCATTGGCGGAGTTGCGAACTGTACCAGGCCATTATGTCTGGTTTCTGCTGGAAGGTACCCCACCGATTAACTTGACCCTAGTGAATACATCAATACCTTTGAAGGGCGGTTTCAACATAACAGGATTCCAAATAAAGCGGACGGGTACCTACAAGTACACTCTACTAGCACAAAATGCAGAAGGAACTGACTCCAAAACGGTCGAAGTAACCGTTATGGGTAAGGATTCAATGCTGTTAAGTTCCATTCAAAGTAGATAAGACTTTCTGCAATAAACAACTATAGTAGTTCGCACAAACAGTTGTGTTGAGTTTTTTTTCTTTTTTTATCCGTTGATGATTCAGTTCATTCGGTGAAAAAATGAATGTAAAAAGTTTTTTAGAGTACTTGCTCTTGTTTTGCCATTGTTTTGAACACAGGTAATTTGTGTCTATTTAGGTTTGTAAACAATAAGGATTTATCAAATATTGGAAATTTGGGTTTCAACCTTAATCAATGAGAAAAAATGAAAATTCGTTGTATTATTGTCTATTAATTCTGTGTTAATGCACATATCAAACAGTACCGCTTTCTTGAAAAATTCCCTCTACTAATTGCCTTATTCTTGGGTCCATTCATTTTTACAGATTGCAATCATTTGTGTCGCAGTACAGGTTGGTTAAATAGTTCAGGCCAAGTTACAAACGGATACGACTGTAGTTATAGGTACATGGTACCTAATTGGAATTGCATTCCAACCACAACCACTAAATTGTAAGTTTATTCCCTTTTCACCATAGGTTAATTAGCGTTTAAATGTTTTCTTATTTTTCAGTATGGACTCCTGTGTGTACGTTTCGAAATGTTTTAAAATGTTTGGTTTAAGACTTTATCGTATTTCATGTATTTTTAAAATTGCCATCTTTTTATCCCAGTTTCACACGCAAACCACAAAATGCTCCAAAATCCCAAATCTGAAAGCAAGAAAATCTTTTGGCAACCACTATGTACTTGTTTTATTTTAACGTGACAAGAGCGTCAGGCAGCTTTCTAGTTATAAGCGCTCTAAAGACTGACGATCAACCTTGGACTTTCAAATGAGCGCACGTGCAATGTAAAACTTCCTCTTTCACTTACAATGTGGAAAAAAAAAACCACCATGTACTTGTTTTATTTTAACGTGACAAGAGCGTCAGGCAGCTTTCTAGTTATAAGCGCTCTAAAGACTGACGATCAACCTTGGACTTTCAAATGAGCGCACGTGCAATGTAAAACTTCCTCTTTCACTTACAATGTGGAAAAAAATTTCGCATGCACGCATTTACCCTCTCAAACGTTATCTATAGCATAACGTGCTGCACGCTATTGGATAAGATAAACGTGGGCGAATCAGTGAGAATTCTTGTAGGCGACAGGTGTCCAAAGAAATGACACGGGTGAATATAATAAAAATCTGCGCGAGCTTTTTCCACCCTCCTTCCATCCTTCCTTCAATGGTGTCTCTTTTACACCAAGGAGTAGGGGAGCTTTTCAAAAGCCTTACCTTTCGAATCAGCACTCAAAATCGCCACAGAATCAATAAACGCAGCTCTAACAACTAATTCATTATTCTGTTTTACACATTGCAATGTTCCCGGCAACCAATAGCATTGCCTAATAATTAACGAGTGTCCGTAACATTCATCTTATTATTATTATTATTTTGTTACGGCTGACGCACTTTATCCGGAATATTGTTTAGATATCTATCTAATTCGATTCGTTAGCCCCAAATGCTTAAACCACAATGACGTTGTCGACTTTACTGAGAAACGTGTTCACCCAAATGCTTAAGCCACAATGACGTTGTCGACTTTACTGAGAAACGTGTTCACGCCCTTTACCGCACTGCTTTAGTTGGCTTTGCTTAGGCAAGAGATAAGTTGTAGTAGAGAGTTTGCCTTTATAATTTTCCTTTCTTTTCCCGTATTTACTCTATTTAACGATCTTCACCCGGGGTACTTGGGTTAATTTTTGCTTGGTATGTGCCGCTGGCTTCTCAGAACCCCCACCCCATTATACATGTAGTCTATTCTGTGGCCAAATATAGACCCCATCTTAGCCACTTTTGGGAAAATGTAATTTTCGCAATCCCAAACTTAGTAACTTTCTGTTCATTCATTTACGTTATAAATCCTTTTAACTAAAGGTCATCCTGAAATGAATTGACACATTGGTTAAACTTAAAAAAGTAAAAATCTTCCCATTTTTAAATCCCTACCTACCTCAATTTTCTGATTCCCCAAATCTAAAAAATGTACGATCCCATTCTAGAAACTCTAATGAAATTGCAACCCCATTATAGTCAATCCAGTCGTGAAAATTCGACTCTATCCAGCGGCACATCCCCATTAGCCTGTTACAAGGGGGTCCCCACCCCCCTTGAAGATCTTCGTAGATTTTGGCTGAAGGTTATACTAAACGTTTTGACCATATGACAAGTCATGGCAGACCACGCTGTTTGCACTGGAAACGTTGAACTCCCTGCCCTTTGGCATTCCAAAATACCAACATGATCGGTTACAGAGGATTCTTAGCGCAGGTGCCAGCATTGTCTGTCTGGTACCCAATTCCAGTCACCACGTACAGCCCTTTATAATCTACATTGATTACCTGTGCCCAGCCGGATTCAATTTGAAATATTGCTAACCGCCCACCGAGCTCTCTGTCTACCTAAAGAAGCTTCCAAGTTTTAAGGAGGGTGGTTCCTACAATTTTTAAATTTTTAAATTCGCAGCTGGTGGTAGATCTTTGATCTAGATCTAGATCAGCTGCGAATTAAAGGTCCCCAAAACAAAGTGTGAGACCCTTGGGGACAGGGCCTTCGCACGTGTTGGCTCCTC